TCTCTCTCTCTCTCTCTCTCTCTCTCTCTCTCTCTCTCTCTCTCTCTCTCTCTCTCTCTCTTTGTGTGTGTGTGTGTGTGTGTGTGTGTGTGTCTCTAGTTGATCCTTATGCATATACTGATGTGCAATTGAAAATGAAATAAAATGATACAATAAAATACATAAGCTAAGTATAAAAATGTACACACACGCGCGCATGCACGCACACACACACACACATGGACACGTAAGCACACACCACCGCACATGTGCACATGGGTGCGCATGGTAGCGCACTCGTGTGCGCGCACGTGCGGTGGTGTGTGCTTACGTGTCTGTTGTCGGCGCGAATACCCTTACAAGGGTATCCGCCCTGGTTTTTGCGAGTGACAAAAAATAGTTTTGGTTTAAAGTTTAAGTATACCGCGCTATGCGCGGCTGCCTCTGTGACTTACGTTGACTGGATGGTTGACTATAATAGAGAGTGCGTGGGCGCGCAGGTTTGAGGCGCGCGTGATTCTTTTCTGTTGTTGATCATAAAGCCGGCACGGACATCGGTCGTTCTGTTTAATGATATTATTAATGCCTATTTATTTTTGATTAAGCAAGAACTAGGGATATTTCCCTTTGATTGATGCGTTGGCCGGGGCGAGCGCGCGTGCGAGGACGACGACGACGACCGCGACAGTGTGACTGTGGTAGGTCTCGGGCACGCGGAGGGGCGCGAGTGGCGGTTGTGGTACAACTTTGGTAAGTCGGCGCAGACGTTGGGCGGCCGCTCGCACGGTTGTAGGCGGGGATGAGGCTCAGGCCAATTTCCCTGGCCCTGAGCGCAGCGCCGCACCGCCTTATATGACACTCGGCGTGTATTGGTTTCAGGCTTGGGCTTAGCCCTATAGGTTACGACATTGGGTTGACGATACGGAGGATCGAGGATCAAGGCCGGCGGGCGTCGACAAAGGACCAGCGGAGCGTCGGGAGGGCTGAGGGGTTGAGGGTCCCGCGGGACTATCCCCCTTAGTTTTGTCGGGGGAGTCCGATTGCGGACCCACGCTGCAGGGCCGAAGGAAAGTGGTGGTAAGCCCCGCGCCCCGGTCCCCCTAGTTGTTCCGTCTTTCTTGGAGGGTGGATCAAAATTTTATTATTTTATTATTTTCTTTTTGGGACCTGCACAGGTTTTGAGACCAGCCGCGGACCCAAAAAGCTTAGCATAGTGGGGACACCGCCAAATTGGTGGAACACAGGCCTGTGTGCGATCCCAGATGACTTAACCTGCGGAGTAGTGACGGGGTGTTGAGAGCCGCCTAAGGCCGCTCGAGCCCCAGAAGGACCGTAGGGATGGTGCCCGGGGTGAGGTCCTTCGGGACATCTGATAAAAATAGGGGCAGTACGGGGGAGGACCGAGATTGCACTCGATCCTT